TTACAAAGCATTACAGCTGGCACGAATTTCATGTTTGCAAAGACAGCTGAAATCCCTTTGCACAAAGGGAGGAATTAAGTGAAGCTCAACAAGGCCAGTACATGCTGGCTCTGAAAGGTTCCTATTAAGTTGTCTTTGTTCTTTAGCTTGGATGATCTTTGTAAGTGTAGAAGTAGGCATTGGGCTTGACACTGTTTAAGTCACAGCTCAGAAACTGCCAGTACACATTACCTGCATTTTTSAGTCTGACATGTTCAATTTTTGTGGAACATTTTAACATGGATCAATGGAAACCTCTGTGGACTGAGATCCCCACAGGAAGATTCTCCCTGTAGAGAAAGCACTCACACTCATATAAACCTGGCAGATGTGGATCATCTCCTACGCTGTGTTTGCTTCCTTAAAGGGTATGCAGGAAGGACCCAGCATGGAAGGCTCCACATACTTGACTCTGAAAGGATAACATTTCCTGAGAATCTCTGAGATGGAGGTGGAAGAGAGAGCCATCTTTCCACCSACCTAGTGTGTCTTGGTCCTATGTGGCTAAAATACCATTTTTCTAATTGCTCCCTTTTTCTGCTGAATCCATATGGAACACACAATGGAGTTTTAGGAGTTCTTAGAGCATACTTCCATAAAGACAAGCTAGAAATCATAGAGGGGTACCATGAAACAGTATCTGAGAGCACCATATGGACTACACAGTGAAAAAGAGAGCAAACMTCGCTTGACCTGCTGTTTACTGGTCACAATGACAGGATGCACAGTAACTTTTTTCTTCTGGTAGGTAAACTAAGGTAAGTAAAATTAACAGCACCCCACAACTTGCTCCTGCTGAAAGCTGGCGTGAGTCTGTACTGCCTGTAAATGTGCACATCTGCTAGTCAAGATAGCCACTAATTTCATACAGTTAATTGAATGTTTACAAAACAAAGGATCCTTCTGTGAAAAGGCTCAGTAATTAAAGGGTGCCTCTGCAGTCTGGTACTCAAAAATGTACCATGAAATAAGCAAAGGGCTTTGAGCTGATATTTAAAAAAAAAATGTATAATAGGTGCCATAAAAGATGTACTAAAATCTCTTTAAAACTACAAAGAAACTGCAACATAACAACTGCCTGAAACAAAATAGGAGAGAAGAATTAATCCACCCCGTAAGGTCTTATTTAGTTTGCTTTAACAAAATCTGTAAAGCCTATTGCTCTGCCGTTCTAATGATGTAGGCTAAGACACAGGAGATAAGAAAAGCCAAGACACTGAAAGCTGYTGTAAAACTAGGTCACTGTTAAATTAAACATTTTATGAAAAATAGAACCTGCTTGCACAACTCTGAAAACCTCTTCGCTTTTTTCATGCCCTCAGCCAGAGAGAGACACTTACTCCTCTTTATTGCCTCCATAAAAAAAAGCACCGCTTTAGTGACGTCTCAGCACCCACCCAGAGCCAGCAACTCCATTTTTCTTGTAATTAACAGCTATTGAATATTTATGAAGTAAGTGCTACGGGGTAACAGTTACTCATTGGATCAACAACGCTGTTGGTTTGCAAACTGAAAGGAAAACACTGGCCCTACCTCAGAGCACCGCAACCCTGCAGCTGCAGCAGCTTCTGCTTTTCCCAGCTTTTTAAGCACCGGGAGAAGAGGATGCTACTGGCAGAAAGTTAGCGATATCTACTCCTCCTTTTTTCAGATGATCACAGGGGAACATGCTGTGCTGTAACTCTTCACCATGTAAAGAAGCTGTTGGAATACCCTGGAGACTCCCACTGTTGAGCTGTGAGTAAGAGTTAGCACAAACGCTGTGAGCATGTGTAACTCTAGTGTCAGCCACGATATGCAGGGGTTGAAAGCTGTACATTTTGAAGCTGATAAAATAACCTCTTTACAGCAATGAGGATAATACAACTTTGGGAGGGCATTACTAGCATGGGGGTAGTTTTCTACCACTCTCTTCTTCAATAGGAGACAGAACAACTTTATAAAAGGTGTGGTTTTGTCATTGAARTCAGTCTCTGGGATCAAGAAAAGCTGACCAAATATTTTCAATAGGAAATGTTAATGAAAATGAAAATCTAGCTCAGGTTCTTCAGTTTTAATGATGTATCATTAAGGACAGGTGATGTTCCATACTTGGCGTGGACCATGGTGGTGTCTTCTGGGTTTTAGATCTCATCATGTAATACAGCAGAAAGAGAACAATAAAACTCTGCCCTCCTGGCCAGAAAAAMACATGGCAGTCCACCCTCATGCATTCTTTCCCAGTGTTTATTGAGCATACCAGTGTTTCAGATGCAAGGTTTTTTTCTGCAAACATTGCTGTATTAATAGTTCTACATCAACTTGAGATGTCCCACTGATCTAAACGGAACTGTTTCTGCATCTCTAATCATACTCATCAAACTGCTGGACTCTCCCACTGGGAAAAAGGCTAAACTGAGAAACAATCGCTGTGATGAACCAAGTCTGACTACATTGTTTTCAGCATAAGGATCAATGAAAATACAATGCTAGCTTGGTTTCATCTGGTTTTAATTATGTATCATTAATTTKAGTAGTTAATGCATGAAAGTAAAAATGTTGTTATGCCATTTTTCTTCATGCCATTTATTACTTCAAGGGACCAAGTTACTACTAGAAAGAAGCCACTAGGCAAAGATTCACTTAATTATAGTATAAAATGGAGAAGTAGGGAATGAAATATTATCCAAACCTGAAACACCATTAAAATTGTACTTATTTATAATCTGTCTTTCCTTTCATTTGTACTTTTTGGTTACAATTTCTTCTGCTAAGCATGATTAAAATAAGCATGGAGGTCACTTTTGCTTTAATGTTTCCATTCAGCTTCATWTCTTAGCATCACGTGCTGCTGTAGTATGGTAATATTCAGGCTGGATAKACCTCCAGGAAACATGTTGGTAATTTTCTTTGAAATGTAATGTTAATGCACATGTGAAATATTTTCTATCTATCTTTGAAAACAGCATTTCTATAGAACTTGCCTTTTAGTCTGAGTTAACCTGATATATTTAAGCACTTAGATTTGTTGACTACTGCATGCACATGCCTTTGAGGGAGTTGACTGCGTTGCGCAGTCTTGAAACAATTTTTCCTGGAGAGACCTGATATAAGACACTGAAATATTTCATCATTGATATAACATGTAGTCATACTCCAGTATAACTCAATATATCTACTGATTTAAAATGTTTTCCTGAGAAAAACCTCTGTAAAAAAGGAAACCTTTATTTCCCAGGTAGCCATTCTCTCTTTTCTCCCTTTGCCAGACAACTTTTTGTGGCAAATAATATATAACATTCTTGGATTAATCCAAAGGTGATGAAAAGCAGTTGAAATTCAAACTTGATATAAAGGGAAATATTTTTTAGCTTGATTTTATTTCAAAATATTATCCCAGAAATATCCTGTGATGTTTAAGAGGTGCATCCTCTTTGAACAAAAAAAAAAAATCACGGAAGGTCCATCAAGACCAAAACATTTTAACCTGCCACAGAAGTTTTTAAATGTCCACAGCTGAAATCTGAACTGAATCAATTGAATGAATACCCTGTAAAGTCTAGTAAAACGAGCTTGTGTGAGGCCTAACTGCAGAATTTTGCCACTAAGATACAATTTTGAGTGGGATAGGGAAATAAATGTATAATCTGTGTTGATGAAGGGCCCTTTTGAAGAAGCATGTACAAACTCTGCAGGTTAGAACCTGGCATTTGCAAGACTAAAGAAGGAGTAGCCAGTAATGGTAAAAATGGAGATGTGGATCCAATAGAAATGGAAGTGATGCACAGTTGAACTAGAAATAATCTTTTCTTATGAATTTAACATTTTAATTATTGCAGCAGTTTAGTGTACCAGACATCACCAGAAAATGTGCTGGGCACACTAAAGCAACAAAATAACAGGACATCACTGTTGCATTGGTGTCAATTAGCAGGCTTATGAAATATACACCTGGTTTTGGTAAGATCCAGGATGTTAGGAAATGCAGCTGACAGCCTCATTGTAAAGAGTTTGAGCTGTGCTAATGAGTCTGATGTGTGGGAACCAGACCTTGAAAACTCACAAACTTTGGCACAGAGATTGACACCTCCTGTCAATGGTCTCCCCTAGCGCATTCCAACACAGGGCTCCAAGACCTGAAGGTCAGTTTTAGGGCAAGTTGGGCTTTACTTGCCTTCTGGAGAAAAAGGAATAAAAATCCAACAGAGAAATCTGTTAATGCCCCTAGGAAGTATGCAAGCTACTTTGCTCACCTAGTTAATTTCACCAAGGAAATTCATCCTAGCCAACAGCAGTGTCTTTTGCCCATGGAACAGGTCTGTGTAAAAGATCTGGTTTTCCGAGCCATTTTGTTGGTTTTGTGGTACCTGCTAAGATCAATGATTCTGTACAGAGTCCTGAACTCCTTGTGAGCCGAGGCGTTAGTTGGGAAGTCCTGGCTGTTGGAGGAATGTGACCAAAAGATGAGGCTTTCCTGGATTCAGATGCCAGACTGGCAGACTTTTGCCGAACACTTTAATTGTGCAATTCAACACAACAAGATTCCAAGAAAGATACAAGGCCTTGCCTTCGGCTCCATCACTTCCTCCCGGGCTGTGCCGGGTGCCCCACCAGCGGCTGGGGTGGCGGGACACGGGGGCTGAAATTTCCCCGCGTCACCGCCAAAGGGCGGCCGGCTCGGTACAGGGGAAAGCGCCGCCGGGTCCGGGCGGGGGCGGCGCGCC